GTGCAAAACCAATTCATCTAAGACAGTTGACAAATATGTCAAAATTAAAAGTTGAAAGTTCGAACTTTTTGGTTTTTTGAGATAAATGCCTCAAGTTTGGACTCACTTTAAAGGTTATTTTATGAAGATTACGAATATAATAATAAAATTAAAGTTGACATTGACAACTGAAAGTTTTTTTCACGACTAAACCCGAATGATTCTAGTTCTAGGTCTTGTGTTAGTTCTAGTGATAGTGCTAGTGTAAAACTAGAATTAAAACTAGACCTAGAAATATTCGGGTTTAGCCGTGCGTCTTTAGTCTAGTGTTAGTTCTAGTTTTAGTGCAATAGAAGTATGCAACATAGCTAATAAGCGCTTCCTACCGCTGTGGTTTATAAAATGGATAAGATGAGAGATGTTAATCTATTTGTAGAGTCTCTGAAGATGGCCAAGGGCCGAAAGTAGTTAGACTTAAATTCTATATAAAATAAAAGGCATACACTTTTAATTTTATACTAACATCTAGAAAACGACACTCGCCTGAAACTGTAGTTTTATCTATTTTTTCTATTGTAGAATTTCTTGGTGATTGCGTTTTCTTGGTTTGGCGCTTAGCTTTATCCTTTAAAACAAATAGTATCTTAGGTTTTTCGGTATTCTGCATTTTTCTAAAATAAGTTACACCTTTACCTACCAGACAGCTTGAAAATCTCTAAAAACGATAAAATATCGCTTAGTCAAGTGATGTATAACGCGGTCCAAGTATACCTTAGCTTTAATAGGAGTAGACATAGATATCTGGCGATGTTTGTATTTTTTACAATTGTAACAACATTCTACATAGTTACTAGAACAAGTGTGAGTTCAAAAAATAAGTTAAGATAGAGAAAGTTGGATATCAATAAACCTGAGTGTTAATTCAAAAGCAACACGATATTTATGATTTGCGGATTTGCTGACAGGATGGTGCTTCCTTTATGTGATATGGAAATATAAACCCCTTTATAATAATACAGAAGATATTGCAATAATACGTGACATCAGACAAGGCGGTAGTTTTAGCTCATTTTTGTTAAACATAGTGGGCCAAAAGAAAATCTGCAATATGCAACGTGGATGACTTATCTTGGCTGTTTCAACTTCAAAAACTCAATGCATGGTGGTAGCAAGGGAGCCAATAAGATGTAAGCTGGTAGTCAATAACACCCCTATCAAACAAGTCATGGAATTATCTCACTTGGCTATGCACATCTCAAGCACTCATGATTTTGTGCAAATTTCCTGAAAAGTCAGATCAACAAAATTCATGCGTATGGATAATAAAGAGCAGACTTTTGAAATACGCGAATACCCGAACAAAACTAAGAACATGTAGAAATGAAGGATAATTTCAAGAAATTAGATAAATAGCACAGAATTAGAAACTCCGGCATCAGAGACTAATACAATGTTCAAGACATTGTGAGATGGGGAAAAAAGTGCAATTGATGTTGGTCCAAAGAGATGGAGAGGGAGGTGGCAATCAACTTTTCAGGAGATAAACCATAAACAGTGATGAACAGTGATAAAGATAAACCATGTAATAAACCCTGCTGTATTATATGTATCATGTTTCCTCAACACAAAAGAAGAGCCCTGGCCTCATTAAAACTTTAAGCTTTAAGCTTAAAAACTTCTGCACCGTTTTGAACCTTGATCTTTACGGTCTATCGTGCTACCCTAATGGCAATTCAAGCCCTCACGTGTAAATCCGCACTGGTCAAAGAATATACGGGACATTGAAAAGGCCAAAGAGGGCCATTAAATAACTTGGACAAATAAAATTCCACTTAAAACAGGTGATTACCACATGGGAGGACTCAAAGGGAGCTTTCCGCTGGAAAGATTTTCCAAAACACAGAAAGACGAAGAATATGATAATTCGTCGCAAAACAAAACTAGAAAGGTTGTATGCTTCAGCAAAGGGGACTCCTTAAATTACCTCCTCTTCAAGTTTGGATAAGCTGAGAATGAAACTTGTTGACTTTGGAACGACGAGTCAGAAGCTGCCTAAGACGTAAAATTTTCGAAAAGGTTTGTTTGACACCTACCGACACAAAGGAACAAGACTTTGGCGCAATACTAAGGACTAGATTTGCCCGAAACTATCGGAGGGCGCAAGTTACAATAAATATTATAAGTCGCAGTGATGAGTTAACAAGACTTCTCATAAATAAGTGGATACAAATGATGTCCAAGACTTCGAGTCTTGTTTTATGCCACATGCCAAACGATTTAACAATTTAGCATCACGTTTTAAAATGCTGTAATCCGTCTGTGTGAAGAAAATAAAATTTTCTTTGTGTGTCTTGTCCCACATTCTATATACGCATATCTGCAAGCTTTGATGTGGTATTTCTTAAATCAATGAAAGTGGCTTGGTGTGTTGTGCTTATGGATTATAAAGTAAAGAATAGAGTTGTGTGGTAATTTCCGTTATAGGATTTTATCCTGAATTTGTCAACTTTGCTAAAACAGCTAAACTTCATTGTTGGGAGTCTATTTTTAAAGCCTGATGATGAAGTTAGAAGGTGAATCTTCCATTTCCTCACAAACATGATCATCGCTGAAAATCCATGTCGTTCTTCTAAGCCAACAAATTCGTTATTAAACTCGTCTTCTCTGGAAATCTTGAAAACCTAAAAAAGAATTAAATACGTCAAATTAAAGCACTGAAATATTTCGTACATACCTTCTTGAAATTTAATTACAACATTTTTCATCCTTCATCAAAATACACAAAACATCCCTTTCTTAACTCACAAACACAAAAAAATTCGTTTACAATTCGTTTTCAAGGTATTTTTCGTTTCAACCCTCGCGTTCTCGCTATCGTTCTCTGTCTTGCTATTCGTAAATATATACAGAGTACTTGAAAGTGGCAGATTTGCCCCGAAATTAGTCGGATAATAGCGCAAGGGGGATGTGCGAGGCGTGGCTCTTGGTAATCTGGATGGGCGGAGCATTTATACGGGGGTGGATTCTCGTGGATAGGCGATGTATTTACGCCACCACCACCACCGCCGCCGTTGTTACCACCGCCAACAGATTTTCCTACCGGAAGTCGATCCACAACTGCGGTTACGAACGATTTAGAAACAAATTTTCCATTAAATCATCTAACTATTAAGTGATTTTAATATTATTTTTAATTTAATTTTTTTCTGCCTCAATAAAAATGTATAAATAATATAATAACATATTAAAGAAGATTGTTTAGTGAGAAAATATGTACAATTAAGTGGTTAAAACAAAGTGAATCGTTTTGAATCCAAAAAAATGCAAGAATATAAATCATTTTTAATCAAGGATTTGTTGGGGGATGTTTTGGCGACATCAGGTGAGTACTAATTTAATTTTATTTAAAAAAAGGAGAGATTTTCGCTTTGTTTTCTTATTTTTTTTTTGTTTCGGGGGATAAAAGTACTTCTTTTTGTTGTTGCTGTTGTTGTTCTTGGAAAAAAATAATTGGAGAGCGGCTTCATGACTTCGCTTTAATATACGCAAGGCACGGAAACAAAGCTTAATTAATGCCGAAGGCGATCTGGGCACTTGAAGGGACTTTTTCCCAAACGTATTACATCACCTTAGCGAGAAAAACTCGTTTTTTAAAATTACATTTTACAAAATCATCTCAATGTTTTAAAATTAAATTAAATTTCTTTTTTCGAACGATTAGATACCGAAGATTTGGTTCAAACCCAACGGAACGATATCGACCCGTCGGATTCTCGATTGAGTTCCGAAGAATCCATTATCAATCCGACAGATTCTAATGAATCCGTAAAAGGACGAAAACCCCGTCGACGAAGAACCGCGTTCACCCACGCTCAATTGGCATATTTGGAGCGAAAATTTCGGTGTCAAAAATATCTTTCAGTAGCTGATAGAAGCGATGTGGCCGACGCTTTAAATCTATCAGAAACTCAAGTAAAAACATGGTATCAAAATAGAAGGTAAATTTTTTTTGTAGTATTTGATCAAAAAAGATTGAAATGATTTGATTAGGACAAAATGGAAAAGGCAAAACCAATTGAGATTGGAACAATTAAGGCATCAAGCGAATGTTGAAAAGGAGTTGCTTTCGACGAGCTCATTAAGATCTTCAAACGAACAACAACAACCACCTTGTTGCCCTCCAGTTACCATGGGTAGATACACAACTCAAAGTCCGTGCAGCTTTTTGACCACTGCAGCAGCTGCTATTTTTCACAATGTCACTTATGTTCATGGATGCCAATTATAAAATTTAAATTAAAATTAAAAAGTGAGGGTGAAAGTTATCTTAAAAATTTTTAAGCATTTTTTTAGGATTTATAACAATAATTATTTATTGTAGATTATGTATTTGTTAAACCATACGGTGCAATTATTAATAAAATTAGATGTTTGTTTTAATCTATCTATGTAGAAGATATAATTAATAATAAATTAATTAAAAAGAAAATAATAAATTATTAATAAAAGCTCACCCAAAAATTTTCACGAATCCCTAATAGATGGCGCCACAACTCCAAATATTCTAAGATGCTACAACAATAAGATTATTAATAATAAATCAACATCATGATGATGAAAAAACGATTGTTATACTTAATTTATCGTTCCGGGGAGCGATTTAGAATGAATTTAAGTATCAGGAGATAAAATTTAATGAAATACTTACGATTAAATCTTAAACAATTTTAAAGCTGTCAACCACTCAATCACAACAAAACCAAAACATAAGTGAAGTTGGTTTTTATGGAAAAAATCCGATCCCTAATAGATGGTGCCACAATTCCAAATATTCTAAGATGCTGCAACATTATTAATAATAAATCAATCTCAATGACTTAATTTGAAATAAAAGTGTTGATATCATAAATTAATTCTAAATCAATTATCGATTCTTATTGATTTTTTTTACTTATTTCCCGAAGAAGAATAATTATTGTTATAGTTAATTTATCGTTCCACGAAGCGATTTAGAATGAATTTAAGTATCAGGAAATAATATTTAATGAAATACTTACGGTTAAAACTTAAACAATTTTAAAACTGTCAACCGCTGAATCACAACAAAACCAAAACATGAGTGAAGTTAGTACTTATAAAAAAAGTATTGAAATAAAATAATAATAACTTATTTTTAGATATTGAAAAATGACTTTTAAACCTTATTTTAAATATAAAAGAATAAAATGGAAACGCATTTCAAAAATTAATTAATAAATTTATTAAGATCTAATTTCATTAACGAATTCTTTTTGCTATTAAAATCAACAGATGGCGCCATATTTTTTAATTATCCAATTAATTTATAGATTGATTTTTTTTATGATTCGATTAGTTATTAGCACGCTTAATTTAGTATTTCAGAACATAATTTTTAACGAAATACTTACGATTAAATTGCAACGATACTCCAACCAACGTGAAGTTGCTACTTATTATAAAATATTTTAATTTTATTATTTTAATTTATTTCTTTATCTTCAAAAATTGGCATTAAAATGTTATTTTAAATGTAAAAGCATAAAATGAAAATTTATTTAAAAAAATAATGTACGTAAAATAATTTATAACTTTATTAAGATCTTACTTCATTAACCATAATTTTTTTGCTATTAAAATCAACAGATGGCGCCATATTTTTTTAATTATTTATCCAATTAATTTAAATAATTTTTTGATTGATTTTTTTTATGAATTTATTACCTATTCAGCACGCTTAATTTAGTATTTTAGAAAATAATTTTTAACCAAATACGATTAAATCGCAACGATACCCCAACCAACGTGAAGTTGCTACTTATTATAAAATATTTTAATTTTATTATTTTAATTTATTTCTTAATCTTCAAAAATTGGCTTTAAAATGTTATTTTAAATGTAAAAGAATAAAAAGAAAATTTATTTAAAAAAGTAATGTAAAAAATTTTTAAAAATTAATTAAGATCGAACATCATTAACGAATTATTTTTGCTATTAAAATCAACAGATGGCGCCATATTTTTTCTAATTATTTATCCAATTAATTGAAATAATTTTTTGATTGATTTTTTTTATGAATTAATTACTTATTCAGCAGACTTAATTTAATATTTCAGAAAATAATTTTTAACGAAATACTTACGATTAAATCGCAACGATACTCCAACCAATGTGAAGTAGCTACTTATTATATTTTAATTTTATTATTTTAATTTATTTCTTAATGTTTAAAAATTGACTTTAAAACCTTATTTTAAATATAAAAAAGAAAGAAGAAAATTTTTATTAACTTAAAAAAGAAAAATAAATAAATTTATAAAGATCAAATTTAATTAATTCTTTTTACAATAAAAATCGATAGATGGCGTGTAACACCCTGTATATATTTTTCAAAGTGGTTATTATTCTCTAATTAGACCTCTAACCGCAATCAAAAACTCAAATAGAATTCAAGCTCCCCCAATTTGCGCCTCAAACTAAGGGATATATTCAGCAACTGTTAGATATGCGGAATAATTGACAGTAAACACTGTTGAAAAAGGGGCCTCGAAGACCCTAATTACATCGTTACGGTTCATTTGGCCCCCAGTATAATAGAGATTTAAACCCCAGGATTATCACTATTACAAGTCTTAATTAAAGCGATTTTTGGTTTTTAATAAATTTAATGTCGCTGTTGTTTTGAAATTGCCTCTTTCTTCTCGTTCAATTGTTATTTGAAAAGTAAAAAAGTTTCGATTCCCACTTCGAAAAGATATCCTTTAACTTGCAAATTGAAACATCACCGAGTCCAGCTCGGTCTCGGCTTTCCAGTTCCCATTACATAAGCAATCGAAACCCGGGGGGATATAGAGGGCGCTTGTTGGTTAATCGACGACAACGTTTCCGTGTTCTCGAAACGGTTTTTGGGGCGTCGCGACGTCGCGCGTCGCCTCGGGTTCCAATCAGGACCGATTACGCAAGTTTGGGGCTGGGAGTTGTTGGGCAATTGGACCGCCCACGGCGCGCAATAACGAGCAACAAACACTCAAATGATATGTTAATTGCTTGGGGTAAACTCGTCGACCGGAGCCGTCTTGTTAACGACGAAGAGAAAAGGCACGCTTCTGAATACGATGAATGCAAGAGGACCGTATTAAGAACCCCCTGGATATTCTCGTTCGTTTTCTGTTTTTTTTTTTTTATTTTTTAGTCTTAGTCACCCCTCTTTTTAGTCTTCTACGAGATGTTATGCAGTTATGCATTTATTAAGATTTAAAGAATTTTATATCTAGCATAAAGACTACCATGTCTGAAACTATCCACGTCCAATTATAGTTGTCCTATTGAATAAGAGATGGCACCAATTGGTGACATTTAATGTGCTATGTAACGCCATCTATTAATCCCATGCAGTAACAAAATGAAAAATTACTGTTAGGCACCAGAAATCAAGAAATCCCCGCGGTTATACAAACAAATTTTATACCAAGAGTAACATCATTGCCCCTAACGAGTTCTCTCAGGTTGCTGATACACTCTCTAATCATTGCGGAATCAAAATTGTGTTTAGGGCGGCCCGACAGAATAGATTTATGCCAGCTGTTGTTGTGGTGTCTTATGATTTGTTTTTGGCCACCAAACCAGTGAGGTAACGATTGTCTAAAACGATTACTCAAAATTCTACAAGATGCCCGTAGCACGCATAAGAAACAGCAAGATCGACAAAAGATGGTGAATTCAAGGTTGGAGACTGAGTTTTGGTTGGCTCGCATGTGCTTAGTAGTACTGATAAGAAAGTTTCTGAAAAGTTTGTTCCAAAACGTAACCATAGGGAGCTATGTTATTACAAAAGTTATCAGTCCAGCTAGTGATCAGGTTTCAGATCCATCAACCTAGAAAACTTGCCAAGATAGTAAACCAACGCAACCCCGAGTTTAGTGGTGGAACGGATATCCGGCCTACCCGGCCATTTTTTAAAATCCGGCCGGATACTTTTTAAAGATATTAAAAAGGAATATTAAGATATTACAAATCTATTACTTCTTTTAGGTGTTGGACACTGCAGGTAATAATCAAGTTCAACCCCAATAGGACTTTTTTCATTGAATACAACTTTATTTATATCAGATTTGTCATTAGCAACCTCATTATAACAATCCCAATACGATATATAAAATCACTTATTAAAATCCAGTTCTTGGAATATGAGGATGAAAATTTCCCAAAGTGTTAATAAAAGTGTCCTCTTTCCAATGAACCAACCCGTTTTGAAAAATAACTTTTCGTTTTTGAGAAAACAATATTTGAAGATTTGATAAAATTTTCGATGTTGCAATTTTCATCGTTAATTTTCAAAATTCGCTAAAAAATTAATTTCTTGAAGGATCCTTGTGGAAATATCACCAATTATTAATTAAAGTATCCTCTTTTTAATGCAACAAGCCGTTTTGAAAAATCACTTTCAGTTCTTGAGAAATACATTTTTGAAATGATCGACAATTTTTTCGAATTTTGCAATTTTCGCTGATTAAGCTTTAAAAATTCGTATAAAATCCAGTTTTTGGAATAGGAGTATGAAAATTTCCCAAAATGTTAATAAAAGTGTCCTCTTTCCAATGAACCAACCCGTTTTGAAAAAGAACTTTTCGTTTTTGAGAAAACAATATTTGAAGTTTTCATAAAATTTTCGATGTTACAATTTTCATCGATAACTTTCGAAATTCGTTATAAAATTCATTTCTTGAAGGATCCTTGTGGAAATATCACCAATTATTAATTAAAGTATCCTCTTTTTAATGCAAAAAGCCGTTTTGAAAAATCACTTTTAGTTCTTGAGAAATAAATTTTTGAAATGATCGACAATTTTTTCGAATTTTGCAATTTTCGCCGATTAAGTTTTAAAAATTCGTATAAAATCCATTTCTTGGAATATGAGTATGAAAATTTCCCAAAGTGTTAATAAAAGTGTCCTCTTTCCAATGAACCAACCCGTTTTGAAAAATAACTTTTAGTTTTTGAGAAAACAATATTTGAAGTTTTGATAAAATTTTCGATGTTGCAATTTTCATCGATAATTTTCAAAATTCGCTATAAAATTAATTTCTTGAAGGATCCTTGTGGAAATATCACCAATTATTAATTAAAGTATCCTCTTTTTAATGCAAAAAGCCGTTTTGAAAAATCACTTTTAGTTCTTGAGAAATAAATTTTTGAAATGATCGACAATTTTTTCGAATTTTGCAATTTTCGCCGATTAAGTTTTAAAAATTCGTATAAAATCCATTTCTTGGAATATGAGTATGAAAATTTCCCAAAGTGTTAATAAAAGTGTCCTCTTTCCAATGAACCAACCCGTTTTGAAAAATAACTTTTAGTTTTTGAGAAAACAATATTTGAAGTTTTGATAAAATTTTCGATGTTGCAATTTTCATCGATAATTTTCAAAATTCGCTATAAAATTAATTTCTTGAAGGATCCTTGTGGAAATATCACCAATTATTAATTAAAGTATCCTCTTTTTAATGCAAAAAGCCGTTTTGAAAAATCACTTTTAGTTCTTGAGAAATAAATTTTTGAAATGATCGACAATTTTTTCGAATTTTGCAATTTTCGCCGATTAAGTTTTAAAAATTCGTATAAAATCCATTTCTTGGAATATGAGTATGAAAATTTCCCAAAGTGTTAATAAAAGTGTCCTCTTTCCAATGAACCAACCCGTTTTGAAAAATAACTTTTAGTTTTTGGGAAAACAATATGTGAAGTTTTGATAAAATTTTCGATGTTACAATTTTCATCGATAACTTTCAAAATTCGCTATAAAATTTATTTCTTGAAGGATCCTTGTGGAAATATCACCAATTATTAATTAAAGTATCCTCTTTTTAATGCAAAAAGCCGCTTTGAAAAATCGCTTTTAGTTCTTGAGAAATAAATTTATGAAATAATCGACAATTTTTTCGAATTTTGCAATTTTCGCCCATTAAGTTTTAAAAATTTGTATAAAATTTGTCTAATAATGTCTAATAATGTCTAATAAAATCTAAATTCATCTTTCCAATGAACCAAACCGTTTTGAAAAATAACTTTTCGTTTTTGAGAAGACAATATTTAAAGGATCCTTGTGGAAATAACACGCGGCAAATTTAAAACAGTAATAAGGGGCTATAATAAATTGTAAAAGAGATATTTTCTCTCACTATACAATCACAAAACAAGTTTCAAATTCGTATTTCTCATTCTCGAAAACACAAAACTACCAAATTTTATGTTAATAGTACAAAAAGCTTCAAAATTATTAAGTATTTAACTTCCAACGACATCTGTATAGGAGATGTTGGATAAATCGTCATATTTTGGTGTCTCCGGTATTCGGATTTCCCATTATTTCTGACTCACTCTGTATATAGTTGTTATACTTGTTAATTTGATAATTGGTTATAATACTAAAAAAAATTATAAAAAAATAATTTTGTTGTAGAAATACTTAAACAGGATTGGATTAAAACAAAATTAAGTAAATTCTATTAAATGTGGGTTTCTATGTAGGAGGATCATTACATTAACGTTAATAAGCGTATTGTTAATTAAAATTTTACATTTAACCGTCATAACTCGAAGATAGAAATGAAAAACGTATCAAAAGTCGTATTTTTGTTATCGATTACACAATTATGTTTATTTCAATCAACCCGTAAGATTTTAATTTTATTAATTAATTAATTTAATTTAAAACCGTTTTTATAGAAGCTCAACAGAATTTGCAGTATGTGGCAAGTCAATCAGCAACGATTCTTTTTAACATAATGAAAAATCCGATTGGATGGGAATCAACTTTATGTCCTGGTAAAAATTTATTCATTTTAAATATGTTTTATCACTTTCTTTATTTGTAAGGTGTTAATGGAAAATCTTCAATAACTCGCCCTGGTTTTGGTGTAGATCTTTTAACAAATGTCGTAAAATACGTTGAAGCAACTCTTGCCATCATTTCTTATAATCAAAATTGGGCGAAGCATTATTGCCAACATAGAATGAGTCGTATTCAAAAAGGACAAGTAGCTAAGTAATAAAAAATTATAGTAATTTCTCTTCAAAATGTAAAAATAGTATGTTATTATACTATAATTTGTCCACGACTATTGAAATTGATTCTATAAATTTATTTTTTTAATAAATTTTTGAATAAAGTTGTGACACAAATTCAATTGTAACCAACTTCACAACAATTTGTCAAAATTAAATGTCAATTTTATGAAACGATTTTTACGAAAATTAATTAATTTATACTTAAATCAATAATAATGTCACTCATTAATAAAGTATATATTATAAATTATAAGGTAGTCGTAGACAAAAGCATTTTATAAATAATTAACTCTATTACCGAATCATTCTATGTACGTTGGGTTGCATACATTTATTTTTTAAAATCAAAATAAATTTTAATACTAATTTTTCGTAATTATAAGAGGAATTTTTTATTATTTAACTTAACCTCTTTTACCTTTTATTATAACACAGCTTTAAAAAACATTTCATCCCAATTAAACATCATCCGCAGGCATCATTAGTATTTCTCGGGGTCCGATTTTCAACGAGATCTAAAAGCCACGAGAGAAGAGCGCACTTTTTTTGTAGAATTTTTTCTTTCTTTTTCTACATTCATCCCTTCTTCGCTGCTATTTGCCGGATTCCGAGGCATTACATCTCCCCGTTTTTTCCATCTCTTTCCATTTCAGTTTATATATTCAAAAAGTATTCAAGGGATAGAGAAAAATTTGCGCAAACCCCTTGCAATGAGGAATGGGATGAGACGGATGGACGAGAGTGAAGTGGGCACCAACTGAGGAGGAATAAAACACGCTCGGTTAAATAAATAATTTTTAATGAATCCCTCAGCTTTAAAAAGACTCAAAAAATAAATATTTGTACAAAATAATATTAAAAGAAATTGAACTTAACCTAATATATAAATAAATACTTGTATTAATTAAATTTTTGGTTCAAATAATTTATAATTTCGGTGATTGTTGGTCTCTCATCGGGATTTGTAGACCAACACTTTGTATATAACGGTTGAAAAATTTGATTATTTATAAAAGACGTTGGTCTTAAATTAAATTTAACCACTCTGTAAATAATTAATTCAAATTCAACTCCTTTGTAGGGGGTATCTCGATGCATTAATTGCCAAAGTAGAACTCCAAATGAAAATATATCACATTTAAACGTTGGTGATTTCCCCAAAAGTAATTCAGGAGCTGTGTAACTAATAGTTCCCTATAAAACAAATCAAAATCTTACACATTTATTATTATTTCATTTTAAACAAATTAAACTTACATGAAATACGTATTTAAACTCATTTTCTTTTAAACCCATTTTATAACAATTTCCAAAATCGCATAATTTACAAACACAAGCATCAGTGTTTACTAAAATATTTCTCGGTTTAATATCTAAATGAACAATTCCGTTATCTTGGCAATATTTAATAGCAGCACAAATATCATTAGAATATTTATAAATCGTTAAATCATCCAATTCATGACGATTAATAACACTTTCTAGGTGCAGAAAGTTATCAGCATATTCCATGATGATGATCCCATAATTTTTATCGGCGTAATTAATAATTTCGTGAAATTTAATTACGTTTTTATGATTTAAATTCAAAGCAAACGTTTCATTCAACACTTTCTTATTTTCACGTAATTTAACGATTTTTACGGCAACCGCTTTGTTTTTATAAGTACTTTTTACCACAGTTCCAAACGAACCTCGACCCAAAATGTTAAAATCAAAACCGGCGAGACCATTTTCTAAAAGATCAATTTTATTTGGTGTATTAATTTCTAAGACTTTTTTGTGATCTTTACATCTTGTTACATGTATTTTTATCGTGTTATTACTATAATTATCTTGTATTGGTGATGTACAAATAATCTTTGGAATGTTTAAACTAAAAAAAATACATTGAGGAATAAAATTTTTTGATCGTAAAGGTGGTTTTTACCTTTTTTGAGTTGTTGGTATAAACAATAAGGAATTTACCTTATTTCCTATGGGAGATAAGATTTTTGGGCTTAAAATCATCTTTATTGGGGTTGCCATTTTTAATCTTAACAAGAAAAACTTGAAAAGCACCTTTTTTACTCCCTGTATAGGTGGGTATTTTGTAAATGTATGTATTTCGACCACTTTGTATAAATTTTGAATAAAAATTAAATTAACTTTTATAATTAAAACAATTATAGCCCCAAATTAATTTAATGATTATTTATAAATACATATATAATTATAAATTAAAAAATAAAACTGTTAGATATTGTTGTATGAATTTTAATTCCACTACAAATCTTAAACATAACCTAACATTTTCAGATTTCAATTTCAACCGGTTTTTTCTACAGGATTAAAAATAAAAAGGGTTTCTCCGTATGGAATCGGTTTAAAACGTGGCAAATCTGGATGTGAAAGCCGAAATAATTGCTGCCAATGAGCCACAAGTAAATCAAGAAAACTTAAAAGAATCAACATAACCTCACTTTTCATTAAATTTAATTTTTACCATATTTTTGTTTTAGGAATTCCTTCCACGTGGAAGGCAGCAAGCAAATCAACATCCGGGTCCTATTGAAGTTCTTCAAACGGAAGCTAAAGGTCACGATAAATTCTTAATTGAAGACTTTGAAAAAGTTTTTATTGTTGCCGATCAATGTTCAGAAAAGTGGATTTTAAGGCATAGCCCGGAATATTTTGATGATTACACCATTAAGACAGTTAAAGAAGAAAATAAAAATAATAATTTAGAACAAGAATCAAACGAAAATAAATATTTTGTAAATGTATGTATTTCAACCACTTTGTATAAATTTTGAACAAAAATTAAATTAATTCTAAAAGTTAATAATTTTTATAATTAAAACAATTATAGCCCCAAATTAATTTAATGATTATTTATAAATACATATATAATTATAAATTAAAAAATAAAACTTTAGATATTGTTGTATGAATTTTAATTCCACTACAAATCTTAAACATAACCTAACATTTTCAGATTTCAATTTCAACCGGTTTTTTCTACAGGATTAAAAATAAAAAGGATTCCTCCGTATGGAATCGATTTAAAACGTGGCAAATCTGGATGTGAAAGCCGAAATAATGATTGCTGCCAATGAGCCACAGGTAAATCAAGAAAACTTAAAAGAATCAACATAACCTCACTTTTCATTAAATTTAATTTTTACTATATTTTTGTTTTAGGAATTCGTTCCACGTGGAAGGCAGCAAGCAAATCAACATCCGGGTCCTATTGAAGTTCTTCAAACGGAAGCTGAAGGTCACGATAAATTCTTAATTGAAGACTTTGAAAAAGTTTATTGTTGCCGATCAATGTTCAGAAAAGTGGATTTTAAAGCTTAGCCCGGAATATTTTAATGATTACACCGTTAAGACAGTTAAAGAAGAAAATAAAAGTAATAATTTAGAACAAGAACAAAACGAAAATAAGTATTTTGTAAATGTATGTATTTCGACAACTTTGTATACATTTTGCACAAAAATTAAATTAATTCTAAAAGTTAATAATTTTTATAATTAAAACAATTATAGCCCAAAATTAATTTAATGATTATTTATAAATAGATATATAATTATAAATTAAAAAATAAAACTGTTAGATATTGTTGTATGAATTTTAATTCCACTACAAATTTAAACATAACCTAACATTTTCAGATTTCAATTTCAACCGGTTTTTTCTACAGGATTAAAAAAAAAGGATTCCTCCGTATGGAATCGGTTAAAAACGTTGCAAATCTGGATGTGAAAGCCGAAATAATGATTGCTGCCAATGAGCCACAGGTAAATCAAGAAAACTTAAAAGAATCAACATAACCTCACTTTTCATTAAATTTAATTTTTTACTATATTTTTGTTTTAGGAATTCGTTCCACGTGGAAGGCAGCAAGCAAATCAACATCCGGGTCCTATTGAAGTTCTTCAAACGGAAGCTGAAGGTCACGATAAGTTCTTAATTGAAGACTTTGAAAAAGTTTATTGTTGCCAATCAATGTTCAGAAAAGTGGATTTTAAGGCTTAGCCTGGAATATTTTGATGATTACACCTTTACGACAGTTAAAGACGAAAATAAAAGTAATAATTTAGAACAAGAACCAAACGAAAATAAATATTTTGTAAATGTATGTATTTCGACCACTTTGTATAAATTTTGCACAAAAATTAAATTAATTCTAAAAGTTAATAATTTTTATAATTAAAACAATTATAGCCCCAAATTAATTTAATGATTATTTATAAATACATATATAATTATAAATTAAAAAATAAAACTGTTAGATATTGTTGTATGAATTTTAATTCCACTACAAATCTTAAACATAACCTAACATTTTCAGATTTCAATTTCAACCGGTTTTTTCTACAGGATTAAAAATAAAAAGGATTCCTCCGTATGGAATCGATTTAAAACGTGGCAAATCTGGATGTGAAAGCCGAAATAATTGCTGCCAATGAGCCACAAGTAAATCAACAAAACTTAAAAGAATCAACATAACCTCACTTTTCATTAAATTTAATTTTTACTATATTTTTGTTTTAGGAATTCGTTTCACGTGGAAGGCAGCTAGCAAATCAACATCCGGGTCCTATTGAAGTTCTTTAAACGGAAGCTGAAGGTCACGATAAGTTCTTAATTAAAGACTTTGAAAAAGTTTATTGTTGCCGATCAATGTTCAGAAAAGTAAATTTTAAGGCTTAGCCCGGAATATTTTGATGATTACACCATTAAGACAGTTAAAGACGAAAATAAAAGTAATAATTTAGAACAAGAACAAAACGAAAATAAGTATTTTGTAGATGTATGTATTTCGACCACTTTGTATAAATTTTGCACAAAAATTAAATTAATTCTAAAAGTTAATAATTTTTATAATTAAAACAATTATAGCCCC